ATAAAATGAAAAGCAAAATTTTTGGGGCAATTTTTCGGAAAACATAGATTTTTCGAGTTTTTGACAGTTTGTCAGTATTTTCCATTTTTCTCCGTCAAAACTTTGTTTAAATCAAAAAATAAGGCCAGATTCGGAATCAGCAGCATACAATGAATCCGAATATGTGTGTTTAAACGAAAAATAAAAAGTGCTGAAATTTGGAATTACCGGCGCCTTACGATATTTGTAGGAATTGGGAGAAGCCCTATTTCCCAGTTCATGGACACCCCTCACATCCTGAGATTCACATGTGAGAAAAGAACTACAATGCAAATTAATTTTTTCTTACTTCTCTTAATTACAGGACTTACATTATTTAAGACTTGTTGATATCTACAGCGAGTTCCGCAGGAATACGCTTACAATTTCGCCTGACAGTTGCTGTCAGATTACTGAGATAATCTTTTGTTGAAAATTCATTTTTTAATGCAATATCGAAAGCTTTTTCAAAATGTTCCACGGCTTTTTTATTCTCCAGTTGTTCATAATGCACGCAACCAATATTATTGTATAAATTTGCTTGTTCGATTGTACCAGTGTCAGTTTCCAATAAAGCGTTTTCAAAATTCTTTAAAGCATCTGCATATTTCGCGTTTTCAAATAAAGTACAACCTAAATTATACAGGTTTATCGATCGAGATGAACTGTTTTTTATCGGCTGTTTTAATATAATTTTAAATGATTCTGTTCTTGTTGAAGATTCTGATGATGTGGATGATGATAGTGAAGCAGATGATAAATGATTGTGAGTTAATCCTGATGCGTTATCAAAATATTCTTTAGCTTTTTCAACATCATTTTTATGTTCATAAATTAAACCAATATTATTATAGATAGTTATCAATGCATTAGTATTATCGACCGATAATGACAAATATTCTCGTAATAATATCTTGTTATAATAATCTAATGCTTTATCATATTGCTTTCTTTTTGTCCAAAACATACCTAATGAAAAAATAGTTAATTTTTCACTAAATTCATGTTTAAAATGATTTAATAATTGATTATCTGTTAATAATTTTAATCGAATATACCATCGATCGTTTGGTACATGTTCAACAGATTCAATACGACACACAGTACCAATTAGAAATAAAAATTCCTTTTTTATTTTTCTATAACTTAAATGTTGAATATTTTTAACATATTGTGTTCTCTCACTACTAATATCTATTTGAAATATAACATCTACGTCATGCGATGATGTTAAAAGAGTTTTTGTTTTATTAATATTTGAAAGAGCTAATGCCACAGATGTTGTAGTTGATAAAAATGTATTCATTAAATAAAGTTCACCAATATTCATTCTTAATCGTAGTAAATCATCATAAAGTATTGTTTGTCCTCGATAAACTGTTGTTATCGTTGATGAATTTAATTTAACTAATTGACTATAAATATCACTGATAAAGTAACGAAATGAAAATATTGTTGATATATCATATGTGTCTAAAGCTTTATTTAAAATATTATAAATAGGACTATTTGATTTTGTACAATAAAATATTGCTTGATCAGATGTATAATTATTTTGAAAATCATTAATCATAGATATTTCATCACTAAATAATGATTGTGATCGACATAATTTTAACATTGTAGAATATTTATCATTGTTTGATGGTAGTGATGGTAAACGACGAAATGCTTTAATTAAAAATTGAAACCAAATAAATCTTGAGTGTTCTTCATCTAATTGAATTAATGATAATTGTTCAGAATTATCATTTGAATTAATAAATAATGTTATTGAACTATTTAATGAATTATAATATGGATTTATAGATGGATTTGATGATAATATTTTAATGTCCTCTATTAGCTTATGAAATAATTCTTCTTTGCTTGAAAACGTACCGGATATTTTAATATACTTTGTTAATTTTTTATCATTTTTTTCTGATGATTTTAATATATAAATAGCAACAATTTGTGTAAGATTATGTACTATTGGTATAACATTTTCACACAATAAATTAGTAAGAATTAAAATAAATTTTTTATTTGGAACAGATGAAATATACGATATACATGCTAATGGATTGTTATCATAGAGATGAGTATCGTTAGTTAATGAATTTGTCGACATAAAATAATCTGATTTATCCATGTCAATCCGCGACAGTAGGCAGACAAGCGCTACATCTGATGGTGGCGTTATTTCTCTTACACTTTTTGCTGTTGATGACGAAGATGCACCTTGTGATGAGCAGTCATCTGAGAAAGGAACATTTGTAATGAAAAATAAATGTTCTTCATTTAGATTTTGAATTTTATTATTAATAATTTTTTAATAGAACTATCTCATAGTTACCACAATACTGTATTTTATCAACATTTATACTTGGTTCGATGGAGGAGAGCAAGCTGAATCCTAAAATTACCTTTAAAGCCGTCCCAAACCTCCACTTCGCGGTGAAAAAGCAAAAATATAGGAAGGACGTTAAACTCGTTCTTCAGGAAGAACGACGATAGTTTTTTTCCATTGTATGAAACATCAACACTTTGAAACATTTTTTTCTGAATCAGCATTGCAAACTGCATATGAAAATGTGGTTTTGAAGTTTTCGCATATTACGAAGCCGGTGAGAAAAAATTCGTTTCCAAGGGAACTCAAAAACGTGACCCTCCACTCAAAAAAGCATCAAGTATCTTGCCTTAAAAGATAAAGCCTTGTTTCACACGGCATTCGAACTGCCTTGAAGCGGCGAACAAAGTTATATCTTTCTGATTTTTTCCTATGCTGTTGAGATATTTCAGTTTCATTTGAAAAACGGTACAAACGGCAAAGTAATTTTTACTAAGTCCTCGAGTTTTCGCTCAAAATTAATCAGATCAACAACGAATAGGTAGAAAAAAAGCATGCTGAATCCGACGAAGATCTTGNAATCGCTTAAGTCACCATGCTGCTAAGTTAGTTAGCAACTCTATACCAACTAAAAGAATCAGATCAACAACGAATAGGTAGAAAAGCATACTTTTCCTACGGCATAAGTTTCTAAAGTCCTCCAAAATCGACGTTCTAATTTTAAATCAAGATGTTTTTCTTCAAAGTTCACACTGAACTCTTTAATCAAACTAATCATTTTCGGCAGTGACTGTTCACTATATTTTTAACGATATGTTTCATGCTGCACCAAAGACCCTCCATCGCCGCAAGCTCGCAATGATACTTTAGGCAAAATAAGATCTTAATACCATATCGATTTCCTAAAGAAGAAATCCGTTAGGAAGAAGACAAGATCTTCGTCGGATTCAGCATGCTTTTTTTCTACCTACTCGTTGTTGATCTGATTAATTTTGAGCGAATACTCGAGTACTTAGTAAAAATTACTTTGCCGTTTGTACCGTTTTTCAAATGAAACTGAAATATCTCAACAGCATAGGAAAAAATCAGAAAGATATAACTTTGTTCGCCGCTTCAAGGCAGTTCGAATGCCGTGTGAAACAAGGCTTTATCTTTTAAGGCAAGATACTTGATGCTTTTTTGAGTGGAGGGTCACGTTTTTGAGTTCCCTTGGAAACGAATTTTTTCTCACCGGCTTCGTAATATGCGAAAACTTCAAAACCACATTTTCATATGCAGTTTGCAATGCTGATTCAGAAAAAAATGTTTCAAAGTGTTGATGTTTCATACAATGGAAAAAAACTATCGTCGTTCTTCCTGAAGAACGAGTTTAACGTCCTTCCTATATTTTTGCTTTTTCACCGCGAAGTGGAGGTTTGGGACGGCTTTAAAGGTAATTTTAGGATTCAGCTTGCTCTCCTCCATCGAACCAAGTATAAATGTTGATAAAATACAGTATTGTGGTAACTATGAGATAGTTCTATTAAAAAATTATTAATAATAAAATTCAAAATCTAAATGAAGAACATTTATTTTTCATTACAAATGTTCCTTTCTCAGATGACTGCTCATCACAAGGTGCATCTTCGTCATCAACAGCAAAAAGTGTAAGAGAAATAACGCCACCATCAGATGTAGCGCTTGTCTGCCTACTGTCGCGGATTGACATGGATAAATCAGATTATTTTATGTCGACAAATTCATTAACTAACGATACTCATCTCTATGATAACAATCCATTAGCATGTATATCGTATATTTCATCTGTTCCAAATAAAAAATTTATTTTAATTCTTACTAATTTATTGTGTGAAAATGTTATACCAATAGTACATAATCTTACACAAATTGTTGCTATTTATATATTAAAATCATCAGAAAAAAATGATAAAAAATTAACAAAGTATATTAAAATATCCGGTACGTTTTCAAGCAAAGAAGAATTATTTCATAAGCTAATAGAGGACATTAAAATATTATCATCAAATCCATCTATAAATCCATATTATAATTCATTAAATAGTTCAATAACATTATTTATTAATTCAAATGATAATTCTGAACAATTATCATTAATTCAATTAGATGAAGAACACTCAAGATTTATTTGGTTTCAATTTTTAATTAAAGCATTTCGTCGTTTACCATCACTACCATCAAACAATGATAAATATTCTACAATGTTAAAATTATGTCGATCACAATCATTATTTAGTGATGAAATATCTATGATTAATGATTTTCAAAATAATTATACATCTGATCAAGCAATATTTTATTGTACAAAATCAAATAGTCCTATTTATAATATTTTAAATAAAGCTTTAGACACATATGATATATCAACAATATTTTCATTTCGTTACTTTATCAGTGATATTTATAGTCAATTAGTTAAATTAAATTCATCAACGATAACAACAGTTTATCGAGGACAAACAATACTTTATGATGATTTACTACGATTAAGAATGAATATTGGTGAACTTTATTTAATGAATACATTTTTATCAACTACAACATCTGTGGCATTAGCTCTTTCAAATATTAATAAAACAAAAACTCTTTTAACATCATCGCATGACGTAGATGTTATATTTCAAATAGATATTAGTAGTGAGAGAACACAATATGTTAAAAATATTCAACATTTAAGTTATAGAAAAATAAAAAAGGAATTTTTATTTCTAATTGGTACTGTGTGTCGTATTGAATCTGTTGAACATGTACCAAACGATCGATGGTATATTCGATTAAAATTATTAACAGATAATCAATTATTAAATCATTTTAAACATGAATTTAGTGAAAAATTAACTATTTTTTCATTAGGTATGTTTTGGACAAAAAGAAAGCAATATGATAAAGCATTAGATTATTATAACAAGATATTATTACGAGAATATTTGTCATTATCGGTCGATAATACTAATGCATTGATAACTATCTATAATAATATTGGTTTAATTTATGAACATAAAAATGATGTTGAAAAAGCTAAAGAATATTTTGATAACGCATCAGGATTAACTCACAATCATTTATCATCTGCTTCACTATCATCATCCACATCATCAGAATCTTCAACAAGAACAGAATCATTTAAAATTATATTAAAACAGCCGATAAAAAACAGTTCATCTCGATCGATAAACCTGTATAATTTAGGTTGTACTTTATTTGAAAACGCGAAATATGCAGATGCTTTAAAGAATTTTGAAAACGCTTTATTGGAAACTGACACTGGTACAATCGAACAAGCAAATTTATACAATAATATTGGTTGCGTGCATTATGAACAACTGGAGAATAAAAAAGCCGTGGAACATTTTGAAAAAGCTTTCGATATTGCATTAAAAAATGAATTTTCAACAAAAGATTATCTCAGTAATCTGACAGCAACTGTCAGGCGAAATTGTAAGCGTATTCCTGCGGAACTCGCTGTAGATATCAACAAGTCTTAAATAATGTAAGTCCTGTAATTAAGAGAAGTAAGAAAAAATTAATTTGCATTGTAGTTCTTTTCTCACATGTGAATCTCAGGATGTGAGGGGTGTCCATGAACTGGGAAATAGGGCTTCTCCCAATTCCTACAAATATCGTAAGGCGCCGGTAATTCCAAATTTCAGCACTTTTTATTTTTCGTTTAAACACACATATTCGGATTCATTGTATGCTGCTGATTCCGAATCTGGCCTTATTTTTTGATTTAAACAAAGTTTTGACGGAGAAAAATGGAAAATACTGACAAACTGTCAAAAACTCGAAAAATCTATGTTTTCCGAAAAATTGCCCCAAAAATTTTGCTTTTCATTTTAT